CCAAGGTTCCTCTGAAACATTGGGGCATTCATCTTCGGCCTACAGTCCCAGAATATCTGACAGACATTTTTGTGAAGTAGGAATTTTGAAGGACTGTCCTACCTTGTCTTGGCAAAGTGTGGCAGTTACTTTTGCTTCTCACTTATCCTATTTGGGCAGCACACTGTCATCAGTTGAGACAAGGGCAGTTTCTTGCCATAAAGAAACAAACTCCACATGGAGGTTCTTCAGGACCCATTATTTTCTCTGATGTAGACTGGTGTTGCCAGGAGCAGACCCATCTCCCTATCATTAAAAGCCCTATGCTATTAAAATGCCAAAAATAAATAAATAAAATATTAAAATGCCATATTCTGGGGCTGAAGAGCTGGCTCAGAAGTTAAGAGCACTGGCTGTTCTTCCCAAAGCCCTGGGTTCAGTTCCCAGCACCCACATGGCAGCTTACACCTGTCTGGAGCTGGAGATGGACCTGGCTGCTCCTGCAGAGAACCCAGGTTTCTCATCTAGGGCGGAACATCCAGTAGACATGTACTTTCCAGGAAAACCTACCAGCACAGGACAGGCCTGACTGAGTTCCTGGGGCGCTGAAATAAGACACCCAAGGCCTCAGAGCGTTCCCTAAAACACAGAGGGCAATGAACGTGTGACTTTGAGATCTCACCCCAGATACAGGCCCCAGAGACACCTGCCAGCTCATGTTCTGGACTGAGCTGTCCAAAGGGCCCAAAACTAGGAATGACCAAAGGACCCTCTGCCCAGGAATGCAGAAACCTACACATCCCAACAGCCAGAACCACTCCTTATGACTCACTGGGACCATGGTCCTGGCCTCATTGGCTACCCGTGCAGGTGTTGTCTGAGCCTCCCAGGCCCTGGATTCCCCCCTCTGCTCCCTGGAACCCTGAGTCTGATGAGCAGTGACTCTTAAGGAGTCACTGCAGGGACCTTGGCACTGCCCATGTCACATGTCCTCCACTCCAATCTGTCAACATTTACTGAGTGTGAGCCCCACAGTGAGTCCTACAGTCTCTGTAGGGGGTCTTCCCATTCACCAGTAGAGCAGTGATCTATGCTTCCTGGGGTAGTGTTAGAAGAGATACCTGTTTGTTCGTGGTGCTTGTGGGAGGAGGTTAGCCCAACAGGAAGCTATTCCAAGAGAAAGGAATAAGGGCTGCAGGAGTGAGTAGCACTAGGGAGCCATGGAGGGATAAGGGTGGAGGGTGGCCATCAGCCTGATGTCCAGGGACAGGGTTCCTCTGCAATGACCTTCAGCTGGGAGGGGTCCCTCTTTCCCCTCTGACATCACACCCTTCCCTTTGTGTATCAGAGGGTTATATACTCTAGATTTTTGGGGGAAGATCCCGTTGTTTCTGAATTGGGACTCCGTGGGTAAATACTAGGCCAGGCTCCTGAGTACAAGGCGCTACCTCCACATCTGTGCATCTTGAAACTGGGAGGAGATAATTAGGAATGAGAGGACAGGAATCCCTGCACCCTCTCCAGCGTGTACATGTGGAAGCTTTGCTTTCTGTCTTTTTTATAGTACTGGGGACAAATCCTAGGATATCACTCATGCTAGGCAGAGCTTCACCCCTGAGCCACGCCCCCAGCCCTTCACTGGGTAATTCTAGGCAGAACTCCACCCCTGAGCCACGCCCCCAGCCCTTCACTGGGGTATTCTAGGCAGAGGCTTCACCCTGAGCCATGCCCCAAACTCTTTTTCACACCCTCACCCCAAACAGGGTTTCCTGGTAGCTTTGGAGCCTGTTCTGGAACCTCTCTTGTAGATCAGGCTCCCTAGTGCTGTGTGATTAAAGCCACCGCTACCCGGCTCTTTTTCACTTTTAAATAATTTATTTTTAAGTGTGTGTGTGTGTACACTCGCGCGCACAAGCTCACCCACGCAGGGGTGGGGGTGAGGTGAGGTGGGGGTTACCCATTGAGGTCCAGAAAGCTGTGTTTCCTCCCTCAGAGCTTCTGAATTTCCTGATGCGGGTCCTCAGATAGAGCAGAGACTTACCTGCTGAGCCGCAAGGCCCTGCTTCTTTATTCTGGGCCACAGGCCAGTGTTGAGTCCACGGTCATATGGCAATGGTGGTCTTGACTCCTCCTGGTCTTCCTGCCTCAGCCTATCGGTAGCCAAATGACAGGCGATTGCCTGCAGCCTGTTTTGCCTTTCTTTTTCGATTAATTAATCAATTAATTGATTGATTTTGGTTTTTCGAGACAAGGTCTTTCTGTGTAGCCCTGGCTGTCCTGGAACTCACTCTGTAGACCAGACTGTCCTCGAACTCACAGAGATCCGCCTGCCTCTGCCTCCGGAGTGCTGGGATTAAAGGCTGTGTCACCACTACCACCCAGCTTGCCTTTCTTAATTATTGTGGTTTAAAAGCCCACAACATAAACCTGCCACCTTTTCACTCTCGCGGTGCCGGTGAGGTACCCAGGGCTTCGGAAGCCCGAAGGCCCTGCCTCCTCAGCCCAGGAACCTTTCTCAAGGGCACATTTCAGAGCACTGAGCTATTATTATGCAACCACTACCACCCTCTATCTCTAGAACTTTCTCACCTCCCAAACTGAAACTATGCTTTTTTTTTTTTTTTTTTCTTTTCGAGGCATAGTTTCTCTGTGCAGCCTTGGCTGTCCTGGAACTAGTTCTGTGACCCAGGCTGGCCTTGAACTCACAGAGATCCACCTGCCTCTGCCTCCCGAGTGCTGGGATTAAAGGCGTGTGCCGCCACCGCCCGGCTTAATTTTCAAGATTAAAAATTGTATGTATTTATGCAGCCGTGCCTGTCTATGTAAGTGCACCTGGGTGTGTGCAGGGTACAGGTGGCTGTGAGCTGCCCCGTGAGGGTGCTCTGTGAGAGCGGCATGTGCTTTTAACCTGGGCCATCTCCAGCCCCGTAAACACAAAAGGTAAACACATCAAGGGCTGCTTTTTAAAGGCTGGAGCTGTACCTCCATGGCACACTGCCCAGGGATTGCTCCCCTTCACCACTTACCAAAAAACGCTAACGGAGGAAATAATGGTCTGGGCTACCCCAGTGGGCAGGGCCCGTCGCCCAGCACCCTCGAGGCCTTGGGGCCACTGCCGGCAGCACGTCCCCCGGTATGTGCTGTACCTAATTCCAGCTCTCCAGACGCAGACTGTTCAGGGATGCAAGGTGAGTTGGAGGATACCCTGGGCTACAAAAGACTCAATAGCAAACAAACAAGCAACAGTAAAGAGGTCTGACCAAGCCATCTGAGGATTCACACCAAGCGACTTCAGTGTCAGCTGGGTCCCGCCACACTCTGGGCCTCGGTTTCCTCTTCTATGAAATGGGGTGACAGCTAGGGGCATGTTGGGAGACCCGGACAGTGGCCCAGTTTCTGGGTGCCACCCGGAACTTGCGGGTTAGCAGCAGCCAGGGCTGCTGGAACCGGGAGCTGCCTGTGGGGTAAGCGCTGTTCACACCTATCCCACTTGCCCTGCCTGCTCAGCTGTGGCCTGGGCGCCTCCAAAGGTCAGGACCACATGCCTGGGGGGACTGAGGGAGGCTCAGGAATGCAGGCCCCCAACACGCTGTCCTCCCAGAACTTGAAGCACTAAGGCAGGAGGATCGCAAGTTCCAGGACAGTATGAACTGAATAACAGACCTTGTTTCAAAAACAAAGACCAAAACAAGTGTAAAAGCGGCTGGGCTGGGGCTCAGGCCTCTATAAGAAACCCTGCTTTTGGAGGCTCACCATAAATCTAGTGAGGGGCGGGGGGCGTGGCTCAGGTGTTGGAGTCTTTGACTAGAATCTCCCAGTGAGGGGCTGGGGGCGTGGCTAAGGTGAAACCCATGCCTAGAATCCCCCAGTGAGGGGCTGGGGGCGTCTGGAGAGTAGAGCTTGGAGCTTGAGAACACTGAAGAGTCCCTTCATTCTGTCCCTCACTCCCTCACCCTCCTCGGTAGTAACTTCCCATCAGTGCCTGCCTCTCCCCTCCGCTCTTCCCAAGGATCACTTCTCTGCAAACACCCCAGAGCCCTTTCCAGGATCCCTCATCTGGGAAACCCACTGTGGCTCCCATGAAGAGTCTGCCGCCTGTGCTAGTCCAGGCACCACTGGGGAAAGGGATCAAGAGTATTCGATGCCTACAGAGGGGGCAGAGGAACACAGCCTGTCATAGTGACTTTGTCCCTGAAAGACACAGACACCCAGCATCCAAGAGTTCCTGGGGAGGCAGAATTTCTGATGTCACAGCCAAGATACTGCTGGATTGAGATTGAGCTAGGGAGCACACCAGGGCTCCTCGGGAGCACCAATGTCCTAGTGCATCTGACTGAATTAGCGCTGGGAGTCGAGAACCCCTTTTCCCACTGTTTGGCAGGCTTCTGTGCAGACTGCTCTGGCACACCCTGAATTGCCTTCAGTTCAGTCAACCTTGCTTTCAACCTTAACCTTAGGTTGGCCTTTTGGGGACTGTCCCAAGATCAAGAGAAACAAACTCAGCAACCAGAGCCCTTGTATTCTGTGGTATTCCAGAATGAAGAGGGAACCCTGGGACAAGGAGCTGGGGGCGAGTTAGTCCCTATCTGGCTTTAACATGGACCCAGAGACATCCACTTGGGCTCTGGGAACATAATTCTCCATATTCCCAGAGCGCGTCAGTTGAACCCCAAAACCTCAAACACATCCTGATGCCTCATTTCCTCAGTGTGGCCCCGGGGTGACTTGGCCATATTGCCAGGGGCTCTGAGGATCGTTCTGAGTCATCCCTGAGTCTTTGAGGGAAGGCATGTCATCTCAGGAGCTGGTGGCTACAGTGGTAGGGCTGGTTCCCACCAGCCAACAGCAGGGCATTCCTGCAAGTGCTGGAACCCGTGTGTGTGCGTGTGTCCGTATGTGTGTGTGCGTGCGCGTGCACGCATGTGTGCATATGTGTATGCCTGTGTGCACACGCCTGTATGCGCGCGCGCACGTGTATGTGCATGTGTGCGTGCGTACACACGTGCGAGTGTGTACACATGTGTGTGCGTGTGTGCGCACATGCCTCCTCCGTGCTGCCCTTTGGGATCTGTGCTCTGCTGGATTGGGGAAGCGTGGCTGGGAAGTACGGTGCTGGCCCAGCTTGTGCAAAGCCCTGGTTTCTGACTGCAGTCTTGAAAAAGACGGAAAAAGTGGGAAATTGGGAAGGGCAATCTCTCCCTCTATGCCTCAGAGCACATGTCTGGGCGGGGCCGAGGCCGACGAGCTGGGCAGATGCGAGGGTGGGTGGCAGGCACAGCCAAGGGCCAGAGCTCAAAGGCAGAGCTGGTCCCGCTGCAGCAGAGCTGGGCAAAGCTCGGGAAAGGCCACGGGCTCCCGCCGTTCGCGTTCCAAGTGCTCAAGCTTAAACGCAGGCGCTTTCTAAGTCCGAGTGCCAAGCCACTTCCAGTAAGTCTCATTGTCAGCTACGAAAATAACTGCTCTGGAAGCTGTCACAGCTATGATGCTGCGGGGCCATGCCACAGGACCGCAGTGGCCTCTGTGCCCTGAGGGCTCAAGTCTCCTGGTCCAGCCTCAACTTCTTTGTTTTTTGAGACAAGGTTTCTCTAGCTGTCCTGGAACTCGATCTGTAGACCAGGCTGGCCTTGAACTTACAGAGATCCGCCTGCCTCTGCCTCCCGAGTGCTGGGACTAAAGGCGTGCCCCACCAACGCCCGGCGATGTTGCCTGTCTTTACACATGCACATGTGGAAGTCGAAGGACTACTTCCGGCGTCTGTCCCCTCTTTCCACCATGTGTGTCCTTGGGATCAAACTTAGGTCATCAGGCTTTACCTGCTGGACCATCCAACTGGCCCATTTTCTGCTGTTTGAGACAGAGGCTCCCGCAGCCCTGGCTGACTGGCCTCTGACATTGAGAGTGGACTTGAACTCCTGATCCCCTGTGGCCTTTCTGTCTGTGCCCTTCCCTTTGGTTATTGAACTTTTAAAACAATGGACCCCATGAAATCAGAGGTCTCCCAGGGGGAAGGCTGAGGTCCTGGGGCAGGCAGTGGAAATGCTCTCTGTAGGAGAGCCAGCTTGTCACACAGCCTGGCAGGAACAACAATGAGGGCCAGTTGTGACCACTTGGTTCTGGGAATTTATTTCCATTTACTTGTTTATTTGCTCATTCCTCAGTTCCTTCATTCATCGAGATCAAGGACGACCTGCTTCCCTCACACCCTGTGGGGCCTGCGGACGGAATTCAGGTCTTCAGGCCTGGCAGCAAGAGCCTGAGCCCCTGACCAGCCCCTGCTGCGTGTTATACTGAAGGCAGAATCTCAGGGTTCCCCACTTTGGTTTCATTCCCTGGACTTAAGGGAATGTCTTGACGAGATGGGACCACACTCCAGCTACTGATACAGAATGTGAAGATTCCTGAGCAAGACCAAGTACTGCTCTGTGGCTGTGGCCCAGTGGGTAGCACACACTCCCAGCATGCACCAGGCCCTGGGCTCCATCCCAACATGAGCCAGGTGGCACACCCATGTCATCCAAGCAAGGGAAATGGAGGCAGAAGGATCACGTGTTCAAAGTGATCCATGACTATGTGGCATACTAAGGGCTAGCCTGAGCTACATGAGAATGTTTGAAAAACTTAGTCATAACCAGCATGCTCAGTGTGACCAGGCCTCACCCAGGAAGAATACTGAAGTAAATTTACAGGTACCATTGTCTTGTGTTTGATGTTGTACTGGGTTCCAAGAAAGGTGACAGAAACCCAAGAGGTCAGTTTGTGAGCCAGGACTGACCGGTTCTCTGACCTTGGGAAGAATTAGGACCTGACCTAGGTAGTTCAGTTGACATGACAAAGAAAGTTCCTCCCGTCTTCAGCCTCACAAAAGAGGCCACCTACAGAAGTCAGGCCAGTCAAGCCCAGATTTTTCTATTGTTTGTTTCTAGTTGCAAAGAGGGTAACTTTGAAATGTCTAATTTGCATGATTTCCCTTAAAAAAAAAAAAACGAGTATAGCGGGAGGGTGTGGTACCCATGATCCTCCAGTGTCAGCCTCCTGACTCCCTGCTTTCCTACCCCACAAACACCATTTGTTTCTTCTTTCAGCCTTTAAAGCATTTTCTGTCTGTAGGCTGTCACCCCAGCCCTTCAGAGGTAGAAAATCCAGAGTTCGAAGTCATCCACACTGCCTGGGACACTTAAGACGCTGCCTCAAAACCTAAAAAAAAAAAGAAAACAAACATCCATAAAAACATACAACCAACTTTGCTGGAGGGTAAGATAGTCTCACCCTGTAGTCCAGGGTGGTGAACCTAATTCATCAGTCTCCTGAGCACAACCCACACTCCGGTTAATATGTACACTTGCTTTTAAAATTCCTTTTATTTGTTTAAGATGTGCGTGCATGTCAAGGACCGTGGTGTACGTGTGGAGGTCAGAGGACAACTTGCAGGAGTCAGCCCCTTCCGTCACTCGGGCTCCAAGGACAGAACTCTGGTCCTCAGCTGGCAGCAATCACCTTGGTCCACTCTCATCTCACTGGCCAGCGAGACTTCTTTAGAAACAGAGTCTCACTGCACATCCCCGGACGGCCTGAGCCTCACTGCACATCCCTGGACGGCCTGAGTCTCGCTGCACATCCCCGGACGGCCTGAGTCTGCCTGTCTCTGTCTCCCTTGTGCTGGGACTGTCCATCAGCCAGAAACAAAGCAAAGCCCACCGTACAGAACCACGCAGAGTCCACACAGCACAGTGCTGCCCCATCGTGGAATTTCTATGGAATAAACGAGATAACGATCATGTTTCCATTTTTTTTTCTTTTTCTTACCAATCTCACCTCATGATACAATTTGTTCATCGCTTAGGAACTTTTTACTAAGGAAAAAAAATGGATTGGGGGTGGGAGGCCCACGTTTGAAAGGCACCAGATCTGATAAGGAGCCAAAATATTAAGCCTATTATTTTTGGTGGCAGGTTTGTTTTCTGGCTGCTTCCTGTTTGGTCCTAAAATAGCCCTGAACAAGGGGCTCAGAACATGAACAGCTTTCCTATAAAACCAGCTTGGAAGCTGGGATTTTGTCTCCCAGAAGTCTGACTCATGGTGGTAAGCTGCTGCTGGGTCAGGGGACTCCTTGACTCTACCACCTAACCAGCATCAAAGTGACCCCATGCCATCCACAAAGTGAACCTCAGAATCTGCAAAGCACCTCCTAAGAGTCCTGACTCGGAGCTGAGGTCGGGTCATCAGCCAATGAGCAGGACACTAAGAATGGGCTGAGGTGTGAGGGGCTTATCTCTGTGGTTCTAATCTAAAACGTCCTTAACGAAAGAAAAGAGATGGTGTGGATAGGCTTGTTTGTCAGCAAGTCTGATTACCTGAGTTGTGTCAACTGGTGATGCAAAAACAGTGTCACCTCCAAGGGGACAAGAGAGTTTACTCTGACCTGGTGTTGGTGGCGCATGCCTTTAATCCCAGCACTCGGGAGGCAGAGGCAGGCGGATATCTGTGAGTTCGAGGCCAGCCTGGTCTACAGAGTGAGTGCCAGAGAAACCCTGTCTCAAAAAATCATACACACACACACACACACACACACACACACACACACACACAAAGAGGCAAATATGAACAACACACATTCAGGTCACCTGAAGTTCATGTTTTCAGATACAAGCAGTTTTTTTTTGTGACAAAATAGTCACAAACTATGGGCTTTTCAAATTACACAATGGAGACATCACACAGCGGGACAAAGCTGCTCTATGTCTCCTGGCTTGTCCTGTTGGCAGAAGCTATGGAGGGCTTTTTGTTTCCTGAAGCTAGTATATATTCCAAGGAGTTTCTTTCTTTCTTTTTTCTTTTTTCGAGACAGTGTTTCTCTGTGTAACCCTAGATGTCTTGGAACTCACTCTGTAGATCAGGCTGGCCTTGAACTCACAGAGATTCGACGCCTCTGCCTCCTGAGTGCTGGGATTAAAAGGCTGCGCCACCACCTCCTGACTAATAATTCACTTTTTAAAAAAAACTGAGAAAGAAAAAAAATTAAGAATAAAGTCTATCTAGCCAGTGCCCTTCCATGAAGCTTCCCCCAGCTGTGCTAGCTAGCTGTATACAGCACATGAAGGGACATGTGTAGACCTGAGTTCAAGCCCCAGAACCTCGTTACGATGTGAAACATTTCAAAAAGTAACTCAACCAGCTGGGTGGTGGTGGCGCACGCCTTTAATCCCAGCACTCGGGAGGCAGAGACAAGCAGATCTCTGAGTTTGAGGCCAGCCTGGGCTACACAGTGAGTTCCATGACAGCCAGGGCTACAGAGAGAAACCCTGTCTAGAACACACCAAACAGAGTGATGTGTAAGCATCTGACTGCATATATGTGTGCACATGTAAGTGCTTGGTGCTCTTGAAGCCAGAAGAGGGTAGTGAATCTCTTGGAGCAAAGTATGAATGGTTGTGAGCCATCATGTGGGTGCTGGGAATGAAACCCAGGTTCTTTCCAAGAACAGCCAGTGATTTTTTTTTTTTTTTTGGTTTTTCGAGGCAGGGTTTCTCTGTATTGTTTTGGAGGCTGTCCTGGAACTCGCTTTGTAGACCAGGATGGCCACGAACTCACAGAGATCTGCCTGCCTCTGCCTCCCGAGTGCTGGGATTAAAGGCGTGCGCCACCAACGCCCGGCTGACAGCCAGTGATCTTACCTGAGCTGTCTTTCTAGCCCCTTATTTATTTTGAAACTGTCTGGCTATGTAGCCCTGGCAACCTTGAAGCCACTATGTAGACCAGGTTTGCCCAAACTCAGATCTGCCTACCCATGCCTCTGCTTCCCAAGCAGGAGGATCAAAGGCATGTACCACCACACCTGACAAGACCCTTGAAAGCTGCATTACATGTGGGGTGGGTGCCCAAGGAGGCCAGAGAGGGCTCCCCTGGTGGGGGGGACTCCCATAGCACAACTCCAGCTGGGGACTCCCCAAGCCAGGTTTAAAGCACATGAAATAAAATGTAGTTCTAGCCGGGCGTTGGTGGCGCACGCCTTTAATCCCAGCACTCGGGAGGCAGAGGCAGGCGGATCTCTGTGAGTTCGACGCCAGCCTGGTCTACAAAGTGAGTTCCAGGACAGCCTCCAAAGCCACAGAGAAACCCTGTCTCGAAAAACCAAAAAAAAAAAAAAAATGTAGTTCTAGGGACACACAAGCCCCCGTCCTGCCATAGCTAGAGGCCCTTCGCATGGTCAGCCAGCATTCCCACGTGCCCCGGCCCCAGACAACTGCGTGTGACAGCCGCATGTGAGTGTCCGGGCTATCTTCACTCAGAAGGCTGTGTATCGTAGAACATTTCTGATTTCCGTGTCTGATCTGCATCACTTTCTTTGAGACATGGTTTCTCAACGTAGCCCTAGCTGTCCTGGAACATATGTAGACCAGGCTGGCCTCTGCCAGCACCTGCAGGCATACATATACAAGCATGCACACACAGACAATGCAGCGCTTCTCTTCACCGCTTCTGTGGGAGCGCCTGATCCTCAGTCTGCAGAGAACTACTGACACGCTCCTCGACTAAAACAAGACAGGTAGCTTCATGTTTCGTATTAAAATATTTTATATTAATCATTCAAACTTCATTTTTATACAATGAATGCATACATCGTGTGGGGGGTCTCATGGATGCGGGGAGGGGCTGGGGGCGGGCCTGTCTGCAGCGAGGAGACTGGAGGCTTTCTGTCAGCGGTTGGATGATCTGGAAGGCGGAGCCTGACCACTGTCACATTGCAGCAGGCAGACAGGCGGCTTCCAGGCCTTTCGCCTACAGCTGCCCTACTGGCCCACTCACAGGGGTGAGCTGAGTCCGCTGCCTCTGAACATGACCCCGAGGCCCGAGGCCCTGCGGCCAGCTTGTCCTGGGCTGTGGCGACTGTGGCCCGGCACGGCTTGAAGCGGGGCGCGCTCTGAGTATGGGTGTGCACAGACAGACAGCAGTGGCGCCCCTGCACGCCTAGGCCGGCATGTCAGCTTTGCTGAGGGCGATGGCCAGCTCCAGGTCCTCCTGCTCCTGCCGCCGCAGCCTCGCCAGACGCTCCTGCTCTGCTTTCTCGCTCTCCCGCTTGGCCCAGGCCAGCTGCTGCTCCTCATTGCCAAACTACAGAGGAAGATTTGGGACAGTGAGAGGGGGTTCAGAGGGGGCAGAGGGGCCCTCGGGCAGGAAAGTCCAGGAGCCCATCTGGAGCCCAACCTCACCCCACACACAGCAGCAGGGTGCATCCAATCTGAGCTGCCAACTGGAGGACTAGACACCCACCCCTGCATAGAGAGGCAGCCTGGCCCGGTGCTGGAAGGTTCTAGCAGGCAGGTCCAGCAACTCTGTAGGTCCATCCTACAGCTCTCCTTTCAGGACAGGGTCTCCTTGTGTAGCCCTGGCTGACCTACAGCTACAGCCAGTCCCCTGCTGGTTGTCAGAGCTTCCGTCTCCGTAGGGCCGGGGCCACATCCTACCAGCTACTTCTTCCCCTGCTCCATGCCCCCCTCCAGACAGCCCCAAACCCCCAGGAAGCCCACTGCTTGCACAGGGATTTCAATAGCTCCCTCATCGCCATCTCTTCCAGGGAATGCAGACATCTGCGACATTTAGATTCCAGCCCTCAACCTCCTTGGAGAGAGAGGAGGGAACAATGGTGTGAGGGACACAGGCGGCTGCTTCACCAGGGCATTGGGTCCTCAGAAGGATTTGTCTGTCAGCTGTCACCAGTAACTGATAGGAACAGTGGCTTGGAGGACCTGGCAGCTTCTAGGTGGGAGGAGTCAGGGCCACAAGGGACCTAAGGGCCCCAGGACAGGGCTGTGACTTAGCAGCCAGTGACAAGGAGCCTCCTGGAGGATTACTCAGCTCTGCTGGTGGTGGTGTGGCCTCCCCGGGAAGGGGTGGAGCCCAGGAACCTCACAGGGGCTTAGGCAGGAGACAGGTAGGGGCAGGAGTCTAAGACATCCCTGGGAGGTGGGATCCCTCATCTATTCCCACAGGCAGATCACAGATCACCCTGCCCCCTTCTGTTTTGGGGGAATTTTCCCAAAACTTCATGGGGAACAAAATAAGGAAGAAAAAATGTAGGGGAAATGACTCCAGGAGCTGCAGATCCACAGCCCAGATGAGCAGCAAGCGCCCGCCTCACCCCTATACACTGGGTGCTCCAGAGCTGAGGCCAAGAGGGGATCCACGGAGATCTGCTTCGTGCACTTGGCAGAGAGAAGTTTCCATTCCAGCAAGGGTATTTTCTCAGTAGTACTGACTAGCCTTGGCTGGAGATGCTTGGACTAAGCTGCTTCTGGTTCTCTCGGGTGACACAGGGGCAGGGGTTGAACCTGGGGTGTCTCAGGACCCCTTGAACAGCAGCATGGGTGCCATTTCCCGTCAGTACTGTCTCAGGGCCCAAAGCAGCTGCAAGGAGTCCACCTCTCTCAGGTATCTTCATCTTGAGAATTTGTGTCAAGAAGTAAAAATTGTATTTCTGAAACCCCTCGGAAATCCGCCTGCATGGGGCACGCAGCCAGGACCGGCCCTCACTCTCCAGTTCGTTCATGGAGGCATCTGCAAAGCCCACCGCAGTTGATGTGATGTCTGCCTGACGATTAAGGAAGCTGTGCAAGCCAAGGCAGCTATTCTGCTAGACACGCCCCTGGCTGCTTCTAAGGGACACACGGGTGACCTGAGGCAGAAAGACCGGCTGTTTTGTAGGGCAAGGACCAGGACAACCCATGCTGGCCCTGAATTCCTGGGCCTCCGATGGACAGATATTGCCATGTCCTGCTTG